GATATGAAGTTAGAATATGTTGGATCTGACTTTGGTTAAGTAGGATTTGAGAGGTGAAGGTGACCGTGGCGGTTCGGGTAGAAGACCGACCGGTAGGGTTAGGACAATGTATGTGGTAGAAAAAATATCAACTTGCAGGTTGTCTTACCTTGACATGTTGGAACAGAACTACTCCACGTTCCGTCAGCTTGACACGTCGGAGTAGCGACGCCGTTCAGTGTGTAGCCTGAGTTACAGGTGAAGGTGACCCCGTTCGGGTAGGAGACCGCTCCGGTAGGAGTCACCGCTCCGTTAGCTGGGGCCGCCCGAGCCGGACATTCAACCGCTGCAAAGAAAAGCACAAAAAGAAAATCCTGTCAAGCTTTCTTTAAACTTAGTAGCTCATGAATGTTGTATGCATGTACACCGCCGTGTGCGAAAGTTATTACAATGCATGTAGAACAACTTGCCACTTTTGAATGGGAAAGGATAGCCCTTGTCTTTCTTTCGCAGGTCATGAAATTTCCAGGTTGCATAGCGCCTTGTGATCTGAATTATGTGTTTCTGTGGTGTTTTTACATTCGTTGATGACAGAAAGTAAAACAATGAAGGTTGCTCCCGTACTATTTATATACTACAACATCTGTTGAATTATTTCGAGCAATATAGTCGAGTCAACAGTTGTATTTCCTTTCTATTGACAGACAGTATAGCGTTACCACTGACGTTACGTTACAAACCACATGTTCCATGGTAAAAAGAAGGCACAAATTTCATTCTCTAGTTGTTGTCAGATTCATAGTAAGTCAATTGATGTCGAGCATATGACTCCTGATTGACTCTATATTACTTATTAGACTTCAGACAAGAATAAACATCCATGTTCACCCGAGAGCGGACTACAAACAACACAAACCAGATGTACAGAGTTGTAAGAAATAAGGTGGAGTTCGATTGAACAGATTTACATTTGTACTCACCCGAACTAAAAGTAGCCATCATGAGCGCGACGAGCGCCCCAGGGCAATCTTCATTGTGTACGGGAACAAGAGAACACTTATACGTTCGTCGTCTGAAAATAATCCGTCTTTAAGGTGTAAGACGTATCTGTCGAGATATGTCTTGTCTCCAGACGAACACTCGCTTGGCTCCTCGCTTCAGACGAACGCGCACACAAAGACAGTTTCTTCTTCAGGGAAGTTCAGATTAGACCAACACAACGTCGAACGCTCCATTTCCTTGTGGCCCCACAAAATATTTACCTGGCTTTAGTTAATTGACTTAAAGGTAGGTTTTGTCTCCAGAAGAACACTCGCACAAGGTTAGACAGTTTCTTCTTCAGAGAAGTTCAGAACAGACAAACACAACGTCGATACGCTTCGTTTCCTTGTGGCCCAACAGACGATTTACCTGGCTTCAGTCAATTCAATTGTGTTCGTCAAATTAAAGGCCATGGGTCACATACCTTCATACAGCGCCAGCCAAGAACGCCGTAGGCAAATTCAGGATCGGGCCCGGTAGTAGTTGTGTTGTCGTTGTGTATATATTCTATCGACATGATTGCAAAGACATTTCGTATTAAAGCTCTGGCGGCATCAATGGTTTAACACTGACGCAAGACTTTCATAATCATTGTACGTGTTTGACGTTCAAAATTCTATTTGCGTGTATCTCATGTGACAAAATTGAACTTAAATGTTGTATGAAATCTGTTTACTTCCGTCAACAACACGTGGAGTCAAAGGTTAAAGGTGAAGGAAGCTTGTTTACAATGATGACACTGACTTTTCTTGGGGCTAAATGCAGTACGTTAGGCCACACCAAGTAAATTTTATGGATGACGTCCTCGCGCGCATTGATTTTGGCCTCTTCCTAGAAAAAAAAAACAAGAAATTTTGCTTCCTGTAACTATGACCAAAGAGTCACGACAGTGTCGCAAATCGTCAGATTGACGTGAAACCCGCAACGCGAAGAAAGTGTCTATTGACAGGACCATCCTGTCAATAACAGAAAATTTTTCACTGTCCACTGTTCCACCTGATTTATTGCTGCTTTGATGATGAAGAAAAGACTTCTTGCTTGTTACACTGTGTCACCTCATTCAATTTGTGTCCTAACATTTGTCGTCTCTTAGTATATTTCTAATCTAGGCATCTTGTTTTTTAGGGCCCTTCTTGTTTTTTTTTCGCCCTCTCGCATTAGATTTAGGGTCTCCAAAGGACGTCATCCATAAAATTTACTTGGTGTGGCCTTACCTACAAATAAGGGATAGGGAAACTTCTTTACTTGGTGAAGGCATGTTCCCAGAACACCAATATATGATTTGGATTTGTTAGTGTCCGTATAACCAGAGGTTTTATCCAGTAAACCTTGAAACCTTTACGAAAGTGTACTTCTATTTCAGGATAATTGATTTCACCCTCATTGAATACCAATTGATTGACCCATGTTCAAAGAATTGGTGCCTTTATTCTATTACTTTCACTGGATCACTTGAGTTGGACACATAAACCCGACCATACAAATGCGCCCCCGGGCGGTTGCTTAACTTAGTGCAGAATTAACTCGTGGGGGGTGTGAAGTTGCCACAACGTCTTTTACTATAGGAAATTCTGCCTTTTGTCTTTATTGAACTTAAAGGGGATATATCTACAATAGTCGGGAGAGTATCTACGACAATTTCAAGTACAACTTACCACCAAAGCGGACGTGGCGCGTCTTTCTGGGTGGATTTTTGCCGCTCGTTCTTCCCACGATTTGTAACAGTTCTCTCCGTGCCGGATGCAGCTTTGCTGCAATGACGATTTCAGCCGCTTTGGGGCGCTATGATGGAAAGGCATGTCGAAATAGGAATCAACCAAAAAATACCTTTTTATGTTATCAATGTGTCATATATCGAGTAAAATGGTAGGTTTTAGAAGGAACTACAACAACTACAGATACTACAGAACAGAGCAGCTCGAGTGGTGCTTCAACGCAGACTACGTGACTGCAGCACTGACAGCCTCCACCAGACACTGAACTGGAAGTACCTGGCCGAAAGAAGATTTTAACACACTTGTGTGATGGTATTTAAATGTCTGAATGGCTTGACTCCATCATACCTATCTTCTACTTTCTGCCATCATCTTCATACTTATAACACAAGGCAGACTACTAAGCTACATTTACCAAATTACACTAGCACAGCAGGTCAGCGAACATTTGCTTACACAGGTACAAGTTCTTTCAACAAACTGCCGGCAGACATAAGACAGATCCCAACTTCGAAACGCTTCAAGAGTGTGAGTGTATGTACTGAGCGTGCGTGTATGTGCTGAGTGTGCGTGTATGCACTGAGCGTGTGTATGTGCTGAACGCGCGTGTATGTACTGAGCGTGCTTGTATGTGCAGAGCGCGCGTGTATGTACTGATCGTGCGTGTATGTGCAAAGCGTGCCTGTATGTGCAGAGCGTGTGTGTATGTGCAGAGCGTGTGTGCATGTGCAGAGCGTGCGAGTATGTACTGAGCGTGCGTGTATGTGCAGAGCGTTCGAGTATGTACTGAGCGTGCGTGTATGTGCTGAGCGTGCGTGTATGCACTGAGCGTGTGTATGTGCTGAACGCGCGTGTATGTACTGAGCGTGCTTGTATGTGCAGAGCGCGCGTGTATGTACTGATCGTGTGTATGTGCTGAACGCACGTGTATGTACTGAGCGTGCGTGTATGTGCAGAGCGTGTGTGTATGTGAAGAGCGTGTGTGTGTGTGTGCAGAGCATGCGTGTATGTGCAGAGCGTGCGTGTATGTGAAGAGCGTGTGTGTGTGTGTGTGCAGAGCATGCGTGTATGTGCAGAGCGTGCGTGTATGTGCAGAGCGTGCGAGTATGTACTGAGCGTGCGTGTATGTGTAGAGCGTGCGAGTATGTACTGAGCGTGCGTGTATGTGCTGAGCGTGTGTGTATGTGCTGAGCGTGCGTGTATGTGCAGAGCGTGCGTGTATGTGCAGAGCGTGTGTGTATGTGCAGAGCGTGTGTGTATGTGCAGAGCGTGCGTGTATGTGCTGAGCGTGCGTGTATGTGCTGAGCACTACGCTACAAGACCCATTGATTACCAAGTCACGTGTGTCATCTGCACAATGTGACGTCAAGGAAGCCGTGGACTGCTCATCTCATTCCTAATGACAAAGACTGCAGTTGTGCATTTGGGTAAGTCCAATTTCTTGTATTAGAAATACAGTGTGTTTGCTAGGAAGTTTGCTATGTAAACAAAAATGCTCCAAACAAAACTTCGGCCTATCTTGTAATATGCTCATTTATTTCCTGAGAAGTAGTGAAGACATGAAAGTTTCACTGTCACCGAAACTCAACTCAGCTCAGTTATTGTTTACTTCATAGTACAAATTGCAAGTCGATTATAACGTTCATATGATATTCCTATGCTACATATTACCATACACAATGATTAAGTACAATTAGTGGTGATGTGCATTAATAGTAACACCAAGAATTATAGGTTATTCTATGTCAATCAGTGTCTTCCATGAACCATGCCTTTAATATATTTAGTATAGGAGACGAAAATCGTGAAGAAGTTTTTAGATTGTTTTATGAGAACAGAACGTATAGTATGTATATGTTATATATCCTAGAATAATAGCTTACATATGTTATCAAGGGCATGCACACTTTAAAGAAAGCTTGAATCATACTAATAAACAAAAGGTGGGTTTTTCATCATTTGTTTAACCTGACTCATCATATCGACATGAAATTAACATATGCGCTATATGTTTACTGATAAGCAATGACTGGCAATTCTTTTCTAAATATACCTACGATCAAGACGTAATGCATAATAATGTAATGTAACATGTGATAATCATAATGATTATTGGTTTCTGTGGAATTTACTGATCAAACTTTTGGACGTATGTACATATTACAGAAAACAGAGTTGCTTCACTTTCACTCTTCTCGCCAAAAAAGGACATGTGTATCTTCTAACATCATAAACTCAACTTATTATGTTACATAATTATTACATTTACACTGCAAAATCACAGTCAATATTAAAAACTATGTAGAAATTATATTTTGTCCAATCCCCTCCCATGGTGCATTGCGAAATCTCACGAGAAATGCTACATTTTGGACGAGAACCTCAGAATCTGCCTGTTGCTGATTCGGATGATGTTAACCGGTACAAGTACAGGCTAATTCGGTTGTTTCTCCAGTGATGACAGAAAGCAAGTAAAACATGGTTCATCTCTAGGATTATGCAGACGTATTTTTAGACTGAAAATAGTCGCCTAACATTACAAATCCAGACAAAAAAATAGGGTAGGATTATTAGTTGTATTATTGTTGAGTAAATATTACGTAATTGGTCGTTGACTGCATTTATCTATAGAATAATTCAGAACCCCTTTTTCGTCCAGCTCCCTCATTAAATCATATTCTAACTGGTAAAAATGCGGTTTCTGTATTTTTCCGTTACCAGGTAAAAGATCGTCATGGTAATGAAAAGGAACCACTCTGTTCAAAGGGTCCCGTGGTAGAGGGTAGAAGCCGTACAGATTCACGTGATCGCAGAACGTGAGAGCCTGCAGGTACGTGATGATGCCGACAGAGGGCGCTCTGAACCTTGGGTACAGCTGTTCAAGCATCCTGAAAAGACATTTGAATGAAGGACTATCAGTTAAATCCTTGCCGAAGGATACAGGCTTGATTAGATACAAAAAATACAAATATTAATTAGAACAAAATTGAAGACGACTAAAACTAAATTTTGCCCGGTTATGTTCTTCAAACACTAAATCAAGACGTATTAAAGGAGACCTAGTCCTGTCCGTCTTTTACGTGAACAGTCACCAGTTTCCCATCCCCAGAATGCAATGCGAAAACAGGGGGTCTAACCTCATTTGCACAGGACAGGAAGGCATCGAAATGACCTGGTGACGTTAAACAGCTTGTTTTTCAGTGTGTTTTGAGGTGTTGGGGAATTTTATGCTCAACATTAATTAAATTACTATGGGCCGAATCTGACAACAAATAGAGAATGAAGTTTTGTGTTATTTTCAGCATGGAACATGTGGTTTGTAACGTTACAGCATCAGTATTATAGCGTTACCACTATAACGTTACAAACCACATATTACAAAAAAATCATTCTCTATTTGTTTTCAGATTCAATCCATAGTAATTTAGTGTGGCATAAATTGCCACAATAACGTTGAGCATAAATTGCCCCAATACCTCAAAACACAATGAAAAACAAATTGTTTAACGTCACCCTGTTTTCGCATTGCATTCTGGGGATGGGAAACTGGTGAATGGTAAAAGTATTTAAGAAATAGCTATATCAATAAATCACTTACTGGACTGTTATGTCCTTCAGGTTAAAGAGGTTGTAGGTAATGGTAATGTTTAAGCCAATGTCTTTCCACATGTCATTCAAAGTCTTCAAATGCATGTCAGGTCCAGTCCCGTGCCCTGACCGGGGGTCAAAGATAGGCTTGGGATAAAAGAAGATCGAATTGTTGTAGCTTTTTAATCTGGAAAGGATTTCTTCTCTGCTGGACATGTACTTCTCTGGTTTCCATTTTGCTAAAGTGTGGAGGCTGTCGGGATCGGCTTCTAGTGTGTTCTTCATCATGTGGAGCTTGAAGGTGCCCACTACTACCATGTTAACTTTGACCCCTACGTCATTGGCGTATCCGGTGATGGGCGCCATGTTGAATCGGATGACGAAATCATGGCGGTCGATTTCCGGTCCACAGCCGGTCCCTTTGATGATACCGCTTCCGCCCACTACTGCGCATGTGTTGTAGCGTCTGATTGGCGTGGTGCCACGGCAGTCTTGAAAAGGTTCACCGTGAAGATAACAATTACTCGTGTCTTCGTCGAAATTTGAAAAGAGCACGATATCTCTCTCTGGTGTAAAGACATCACTGACTGTTTTTCTAAAGAAAAAAAAAAGAAATATTGAAAAATCCTAGCCAGCTAAAGTGCCTCGGCCTGTTATTTGACCCTTCACCCCGATTACGTTAATTGAAACACACATTGGTAAATTGTGGAATTAATACAAAACAAAATAACTGCATTTAGAATATGTGCATCACTTGTTACTATCAGCTCTATTTTCCTTTATTATAAGGCCACACCGACTTAATTTTATTGATGACATTCGCGCGCGCATTGATTTTCACCTGTTCTACAAAAAGAGCACGTCCTCCGAGGCTCTGGCCTCGGTAGTCCATGGTAGTTAGCGACAATACGGAGCCGGTGGTAACTCTGGAGGATGACACCTAGGCTACTGAAACTCCACGACTCAAGAACTCAGTACATACGAACAGTTCCAATTTACAAATTCCACTAAAAGCCAGCATGTGCCGGCTTGTCGTATACGTCGCTATGTACTGCCGCAAATTCACAATACCCGCTTTGTATTCCTGTGGTTTAGTTGCATTTTTATTTTTGGCCGGTAATTTTTTTTATTTGCCCGCGCGCACTAGTTTGGGGGTCTTCATAGGATGTCATCCATGAAATCAAGTCAATGTGGCCTAATGGCAAATCATAAATGATAATCCTTAAAAAAGTTCTTTATGAAATAAAATCAACCAGTAGTTGAAGCTGTATTGCTCACCTGATTATGTCTGACGACTTGAAATGTTGCTCTCGCCAAGTGTTGTTGCCAGGCCATGGACCGGGATGTTTTTCTTTTTGCTGTAAAGTTGTAGATCAATATAATATTACTGTATAATCACTGTATAAAGATGGACGATTAACTCAAAACAACAAGCCAGACATTGCCCTACATGGAGATATACTGACACCATTGGCCCCTGCAGTAGCAAAGAAGCCTCTAGGGGCCCTTCACCAATTTTCCTGTGACCAAGAGCTTTCTGAGATATCACGAGATATCAAAAAAGGAAGTTCTGTTGAAGTACCAGGGAAAGTCGCCAGAAAGCCATATTGGCCTTCACTTGGTCGAAACCTACCCCACCTACGTACCTACCAAACTTCATGACAATCCATCCATAACGTCTTGAGCTAACTTGCTAAACCACAAGGATACAAACATGCAAACACTATCAAAAACATAACCTTCTATGCGAAGGTAGTATATAGTAGAGGGGATTCATTCCTCAAGCTACCGACATCTTGCACACGCAGTCTTCCCTCAGTGAGACATCTGGAGCTGCATAGTTCCCGTTTAGAACTTTTATTCAGCCTGTCACACGACCGGTTTCGCCTGTGTGGCTTCTCCAAGTGTACAGAGGCTAAATGACACAAGTAACATGAAGTTCTCACTTATATACCTTTCCAGTGCATAGTGCCCTCAGACAGGCTGAATAAAAGTTCTAAACGGGAACTATGTGGCTCCAGGTGTCTTATTGAGGGACGACTGCGTGTGCAAGATGTCTGTTAGCTTGAGGAATGAATCCCCTCTACTATATACTTCTATGCGAAGGTAATAACACAAAAAATTGCAGCCATGGAAAATTATAATGCAAACTAACCTTTAATGACTGATACTCCATGTCAGGAGGGCTGTACTCACTATCTGCCGACGGTCCACGTGGCTGAAAGTTCCACCCATACTGATACATTCTGTCAGCAACAACAAACAATAAGATCTCATACCTACATAAAAATGCCTTGTCTTTCTACTTTTTATTTGTCTCATGGATCATAGAAATGTGATGAATGCATGTATTGATGTAGCACAATCTATTTTACATTGTATCTACGGTTTTCTTAAGTCAGATTACATATTATATTTCATATGTAATAGTCCCATCCTTGGCAAGGTTTTATTTCAACATTTCATTATTTATTATGCAAATAACTCCACATAAACATAATTTATGTATATGTATGATGACCGAAAACTAACTTACACATGTCAAAAGTATGAAAAATCCTTTATCACTAAGGAATCATAGTATTTTCGTATTGACTATTCAAATTAGGTCCTAATTTGCATAATTAGTATCTGCATATATTCCACTCGCCATTACTTATATACACTACGTGTATCAAAGTCCTATGATGTGCAACAATGGAATTTTTTAATTTCCTCGTCAAATATAAAAAGTCAAAATTAGATACATTGCATGAAAATTTGTCCGTCTTTTCGTGATTTATCCACTTTGAAATATTTCACCAGAAACTCTCCTGCAGTTTCAGAACAAGCTGCTATGGGAAACGAATCCACAGCATTTGTTCCTAGCACGAAAAGCTATCTGTCACCAAAAATCAAGACCATAGCCCATCCCTCCCCCCCCCCACACACACACAAACATTCCAAAATGCACTGATCCATATCAACGATTTGCAGAAATGGACCAAGCTACAATATGAAAAATAGCTTACGTCTGGTGGACGGTTATACATCCCAGCATGTAGCTTCCCGTCATGGCCACCATCCACAGGAACACGTACATCAGCCACACACGGGGTAACTCAAACACTACAGCAGCCTGCATCATCTTACAAACCTGTACAACACAGGAACACGTACATCAACCACACACGGGGTAACACTACAGCAGCCTGCATCATCTTACAAACATGTACAACACAGGAACACGTACATCAACCACACACGGGGTAACTCAAACACTACAGCAGCCTGCATCATCTTACAAACCTGCACAACACAAGAACACGTACATCAGCCACACTTACTTAAACACATTCATGTATCATATGGTGAGCAGCCTCTCCAACTCTGCCCTGCTACACACTGTAATCCAAAACCACAGGTTGTCTGCCACATACACACAGCACCAGTCACCATAGTGACAGACGTTTGGTGCAGGTCATTGATCTTATGTGTTTGGAGAAGAAGAGGAAGAAGAAACAGAGCAAAAAGAACATGTTTCCCTTCTACGAAGGTAAGCATAATAATCGACTATATGTGAACATGCATACTGTTTCTGTGAGAGATGAGTAGTTTCCATTTTTCTGACATAATTGCTAACACACTTTTTAAAATTAGTTCGCCATCTGGAATTTTCTTTATATCGAGACTCAAAAAGTTTCAGAGTTTGAACACAGTGTTTTCATATCATCAAATCTGAAGGATTTTGCATATTCATGACCGCACGAGAAGTCGGATTTACCATAGCGACATACCAATGCCAGCTGTCTGGTGATGGGTGTTTCATGCGATCAATGGCGCCAGTGTAGTCTTTAGCTTTGTTAGGCGCCGAAATGAGTCCTTAGCATGGTTCACAGAATAACTCATAGCGCAGTCAGGATCGGCAAACCCAGGCTAAAATATATGTCTCCGTAATCCTGACAAGTCAGGGAACCTCGGGGAGTTCACTTGGCTTTCACACTTGCACGCAAAAACGAGCTTTGTAGTGTCAAAGTTGACCTTTATTCGCTTGCCACGAACTCATTTTGGCGTAGGTTTTCGATCTGTATGGGGGTTTTCGTGATACCGCTAATCCCATCTACTTCCGGGTCACGCCTCATGGCCGACGAGGTTGTTACTAGATGTATTTATGGTAGCAGAACACAGTTTTCGCCCTATGGGGATTTCTATAGTTAAGGACCCCAAGATGACTCACTTCGACGCGGTAAGAATTATAGCAGAGTGCACTTCACAAATACGAAAATCGAATATGTTTTAGAAGAAGGTACAAACTACAAAATATCTAGAAACCAAAAAATCCTGTCGGCGTATCTGCTCGTAACGTACACTTTGAAATCGCCCTCTACGGACGTGACCTGAACTGCAGCCGACTCACCCGGAAAGTCAGTTGCGCAATACGGCACATTCATACAATTCAAATCATACAGTCTCAAACCCGATACATTTCTACACCACACAGCACAATTTACGTCTGGCTGACGCTCTTATCAGGCTTTCTACCCAGCCTTCAAGAATATTCGCTGCACTACTTTCTATACCCGCGCCACAGACCCCGGGGGACGCCCATTAATACTGTGTTCTGCTACCTTATCATTATTAGAAAATCCCAATTTTTGAAAGACCAGTACCGCTTCTTCCGGGGTAGTGCTTGGAAAACCATGTGACGGGCGGATTTCTAGCGTCCATATCGCTCGTAATCTGCTGCGAAATGGCATTGAATACTTACATGGCTGAAAGAAATGAGAAGTGCTGTTTTTGATACAAATTTGGGGCTCGAACCTTGAGTCAGAGTATGCTTCTGTGTTGACCTTGACCTTGGTTGCTTTGACCTTAGATAAGTGGGATTGCAATGCTTCGCGCCATGGATCATTAAATAAAATGCAGTGATAAGGGATTTGAAAGAGATTCGGACATTTTTTCTGCACGTTCGCATCGGTTTTAGGGTCTTCAGATGATGACATCCAGAAAATCAAGACAATGTGGCCTCACTTGCTCGATTCGACTGTGATTTCTATCTTTTCAATCAAGATGTCTGAACCAGACAGACGTACCGCTCTTATCTGATCGCAAATAAATCAACACAATAGATTTTTACGACAATATCTTCCATTTTGCTTCTATGTACAGTTGTGTACATGCCATGAATGATATTCAGAATGTTGTTGGCAGATGCCATGTAAATGTTTTTTTTTTAAGGGTGAATTTGTTTTTACAGTTGTGCAGACTGTACGTCTGGTTCTGCACCAGCATACCAGTCTTATCGTGATTGTATCAGAATGCCGGGAGCACATCGCTTGCAAGTGTACGTGTATGGCATATATACATGTAGTGTGTTACCAACTCGGAGGTGATTTGACTCATTGAGGGTAATTATTCTAAATTCTCAAAATATGAAGGAGATACCGAAGGGGAGTCATTATTGCCCCCCCCCCCTCCGTCCTTCCGTCCTTTCTTTAAGTAAAGCTCTCCTTATTCTACGGAAGTATGTAAACAAGTAAAAAATTACAAACCATAGTTTTACGTGACAATTCACATAAAGCAAGTCTTGTTGCAGGTCTACAACAATTGGCTGACTGCCAGGTGCGCTTTAAGAAACTCAACTCCCTCAAATGTACTCAGAATGTTTGCCAGGGTCTTGAATTGTCCATACTTGGAAAGAAAAGACAGGTGTAGGGACCAAAGTTACATGTAAAGAATCGTGGCACCAATTACAAGTTGCACAAAATGATCAAACTGTTTCTTCCTGTATCCTACGTTGCACAGCTAAATTATTCTTGCGCGACGTGTTCTAGATAGTGTGAGCTCTATTTCCATATGTTTGAAATGGAACCCTACCCATGACGCCTTGTCTTTCATACACATGTCCTTCAGACACATGTCCCTTCTGTTCTCAATGACATGAATAGTCCTTTTATGGAACGAAGCAGATTAAAAATTCTAAATATTAAACATCTAAAAATTGTAAATAAGATCCTGATTTGCCTCACCAGTCCCATAGCTGCCATCTATCCCGCACCAAATATCAAGGCAGTTCATTCAAGGTTTCTCGAGTTATCGTGTTTACAGACACACACACACACAGACGGACACATACACACAGACGGACACACACACACAAACACAGACACACACACACACACACAGAGACAGACAGACAGACACATGCACACAGACGGACACACACATACACACACACACAGGTCACACACACACACACACACACACACACACACACACACACACACACACACACACAGACGGACACACACACACAGACAGACACACGCACACAGACGGACACACACACACAGACGGACACACACACGCAGACACACACACACACAAACACAGACACACACACACACACACAGACGGATACACACCAAGACGGACACACAGACAGATGGACACACATACACAGACACACACACACACACAAACAAACACAGACGGATACACACGAAGAAGGACACACAGACAGACGGACACACATACACACACACACACACACACACACACACACACACAGACAAACAAACAAACAAACACACACAGACGGATACACACGAAGACGGACACACAGACAGACGGACACACAGACAGACGGACACACACACACAAACACAGACACACACACACACAAACACAGACACACACAGACACACACAAACAGACGGACACACACACAGAAGTTTTTTTTTAAAGTATAGCATACCTGTACCCGTTAATTGAGGGGTGATAATGTCCATTTTCCCCTTTTCTACATACACACGGAGATGCTATCCGTAAAATAAAGTCAGTCTGGACTTTAGTGAAAAAAATTGCACCATGCTATTTACATTTGAAATGGAAACCTGCCATTTTCTTTCTAAATTGCCTGCTTTAGTCAACTATTTATGACGCGCATTTATGTATATCGCTAAATACAAAACAAAACTATGAGTCACTAATTTACATAAATTTTCTATAATATAGACGGTAAGATAAATATAAATATACAGATTTAAAGTTCTGTATAATACAATAAAACAGAGAACAGGTAATCTTTGACAGAGGTTCTATTGTACAGTAGTTGGTGGCCTTTCAAGGTTTGTTGTCCTTTTCCCTGAAGGCATCCTGCTTAGTACTCAAATGGTGCGTGAGACATTACGTACAAGAAGACAATCACAGTGTTACATTTCACACATTGAAAAGGTAACGTGCCACTTTAGCACTACCAGTGCTCTCTCGTCTTTACAACATAGAATTTGTAATTTCTTTGTAATTCTGAGTGCATGTGTGAAAAATAAAATGTAAAAACAATCATGATTTTACACGCAAGAAATCTTATGTGGTTTGATTGCCCTTTTCTTTACTTGCCCTATACAATTGATTTGATTCATATGTAGGTCCAACTATTAGTACCTGCTTTCATGCCACTCAAAATGTACAGTATAAGGGAAGCGGCGTACCTTTTGGAGTCCCTCCTATAAGTGAATCTAGGACAAATGTCTGGGACGCACCAGCTCAGTACAGCGGCTCCACAGTCAGGCTAAGACGGCTCAAGGACGTTTCAAACGCGCATGGCAACTACGCCGGGACGGTAACCCTCGTGTCGAGGCACTGCCGTACAATATGTCTACACCATTCTACACCTACGACTACACCATTCTCACCCAGGGGTAGCAACATTTTATAAAAACATACTTAGAACTTTATCAACCAGAAAAATTAATCGGTTTCACTATTTTCAGTTTGACGAATCTAGCATTGTGCATTGAAAGTATTCATTTTTTTACTTCGTAAGAAAAATGTGGAGAATGAACAGCATGTTTGAAGCTGAAGCAATGGTTGCGCCTTGTTTAAAACATTGCCCATCCCCTAGGCGATAGCTGCTGACCTTTCGTCCTCAGGGTTCGTAGCGACACCGAGAAAACCGGTTTTAGAAAAGGTCAGCATCTGCCGTGTGACGCCGGCGGCACTCCGCGGGTACAGATGCCGGTATGATAGAGATTTTACACGATACCGAATTCTCGAGCTTGCCGGGGAAGAAAGTCAGAACATATCATCACAAAGAACGCATCTCAAATATAGAAACTGCCAAGTCCGTTACAAATACACATCACACACATAATAGCAGCATCAAATGAGTATCTGACTTAATGCGATATAGAAGTAGAAATAGAATAACAACCGACAGACCCACAGTACTGCGAAAGCAAGACAACACAAACTTGCGTGCCCTGCCGGTCGAAACTCACCTTACTTATGCCGCGACACTTCAACCCGATGTCTTACAAGGCCCAGTCTACTATTTCATAAAGATTGCTATAGATATTCCTTTCCTACTTTCCTCAGACAGTGAGAGACTGGAACTTACTTCCACAAGACATTACAGACAATAGTGATCCTGCTTAAGGATGGGCGGTAATATATCCAGCACCTGACGCACCCCCCACCCACTCCCGAGTGCGGTACTCCAGCTGCTAAAGGCGAGGGGAGTTACTCACTGTACCCAATCAAGATCAAGAAAATCGCGAGCGATATCGGAGAACTAACCTGCCTGCTCTGATGACACAGAATGGCGCAAGATAGCCTCCGTAGCAGGCTTATAGAATCGAACCCAGGACCCATGGCCGAATGCCCTACGCCACACGACCCCATTGCTCCACGGAGGTTTTTTTTACTTTATAGGTCACCACAAAACAAGGCTCATGGTAGCCACTTGAGGACAGTGAGGACAGAGGTTTGTTGACCTTAGACTTGAAGAGTTTAAGGTTATACTCAAAAGGGAAGCAATTATGAGGTAGCTTATTCCAAAGTGATGTTGTTCTTGGAAAGAATCTTCCAGCGTGGAACTTGCTCCTAAGAGGTGGATAATGGAGGAAGAAAGGGTGATTTGCTTCGGTGGAAGTGGCAAGACGTGTCCTTGTTGAGAATGTTCGAAGTGGAGGCACTAGCGAATGAAGTTCCACGGAGCATTTACCGTGGAAGTAGCGATAAAATAACGCAAGGCTTGTAACATTGTGTCCTACGAACTTTATTTGACGCTTTCCTCTGACTTGGCACGTGTCTCTATATAAATGGTTTATTGGCCAAACATCACCCGTGCAATTGCAGCCTTATAGTGCTGAATTGATGCAGGCTAGGGTTTACAATGGTACAATGATACAAATGGTAATAACACACATAATAATACACATAATGACACATTATACATATTTTTTCCACATTTTTGTGGAACTGCCGCAAGGGTCTGTGCGGCTGCCATTCGGCACCACAAGGTGACCTCAATATACGGCTTTCCCCAATCGAAGTTAGGTACCCATTCACACCTGGGTGGAGTGAGGAAAGTCGTGTAAAGTGCCTTTCCCAAGGGCACAACATCGGGCGCATGTTCAGACATGTCCCGGGTACGACTCGCGGGATCGAACCCGGGTCTCCTGGTTGACAGTCGAATGATCTACCACTACGCCACCCGACGCCACAATGTATGTATGTGTGAAAATCGACAGGCAGGGATGATATCTGTACAGTGATGGATAACGGCAGCTCTCACGGCCATCAGGGGATGGATTTGTGGGCACTTCGCGGGATTTCATCCTCAAGGTGACTTTCGGAAAGCATTGGCGCCATAAGTTAACTATTGGCACAAAGCTAGTGATCATGCATATAGATGGACGTGTCAACTTTTAATGCGTAGTCATATACATCGCACAATATATTTCTCAAGTGATTTGTAGTCGGACTATCATGATATATGTGGCGTCGGGTGGTGTAGTGGTTAGAGTAATCGACTTTGAACCGGGAGACCCGGGTTCGATTCCGAGTCGTACCCGGGACATGTCTGAACATGCGCCCCGACGTTGTGCCCTTGGGAAAGGTACTTTCCTCACTCCACCCAGGTGTGAATGGGTACCTAACTTCGGTTGGGGAAAGTCGTATTGAGGTCACCTTGTCACCGAATGGCAGCCGCACAGACCCTTGCGACAGTTCCACAAAAATAATTGTGGAACAAATATGTGTATCATGTGTATTATTTGATTGTTGTGATTTGTATTGATTATTATGTAATACCCTGCATCAATTCAGCCGTATAAAGACTGCGACTGCACGGGTACTGTTTGGACAATAAAAAAAAAACATTTATTATTATATATAGAACTGAACGCCGACGATATTTTCAGTCGACGCAAAACAGCTCGTACGACACCTCCACTGTTCCAAGAAGTAAGATCTCAAACGACGTATTTCCTTAGTGGAACTGAAATAATATATGAATTCTTCTTTTTTTTTTCTTTTACATTTCACACTGCATTGGTCATTTTAAAGTGTATGTATGTATGTTTGTTTGTTTGTTTATTCAGGCATTACGAGATCTGGGCTTTAAAGTTTTAATCATTTATTCAATTAGTCAGTTAGTTAGTTAGTCCGTCCTGTTAACTACATATTCATCTGTATCTATATTGATTTTCATTTCTAAATTTTGTTTAATCCTTTTTTTACAATGCATTTTGCTAAAGATATGTAATATGACCAAAAGTAATTATATAATCAATTATATTTAAGTGGAACCCCCTCGATAAATCTGTAGGTTTCTGTGTCCTTCTTCATTATTCATTATTTAAGCTGACAAAATTGTTTTTTAAGTGCCAACAGAAATAAACAATAAACAAAACGTTGGTCTCCCTCATGAATCTAAAATTAAATTCTCCATAAGGCCACACCAATTTGATTTCTTGGTTAACGTATTTTTCTAGAAAAACAATGGAGCAGGCGGGCGAAAAAAAAATAAAAACAGGCCTAGGCATCCTATTATGGCCCAAAATGGTATGATAGGAGCCATGAAGTCAACACACCAGGCTGGTTCAAAATTTAAACAATGAATTTTGAACTTTTAATGATAGCACTGCATCCAAAGATGGAATAACTGTAACAACTAGAAAGGAAGGGACTGTTTTCAACTGGTCAGGGCAAGATATGAGCATTTTGCAGTTGATTCTGAATTTTTATTTCTTTTTTTCTTGCAAATCAGAAAAAAAATGAAGCGGGCGAATCCGTTAACCAAGAAATTAAATTGGTGTGGCCTAAGGCACGTACATTTCTGTGTAACTCTCTGCCCCGGCCACATGACGTCTTTCATTGTAAAACTACGCACGACCACAGCGGAACGTAATGTCATTGTTTCCAAAGAGCCATCTTCTCCGGACCTCATTTCCACCAGATATTGTTACGTCTTGTCCTTTCGAGTCAGTCAGATTGTTCTGGGATCTGCTAGACCTTTTTCTTTCTGTCCATTTTGTCCAAAGCAAATTGAAGTTGAATTTCACTTTGTCATGGAATCTTCTAGATATTACGTTTTACCTAATAAGCTATTCGCATGTATGTAATAACTCTCACAATGCAAAAATAGGTAAATACATAAAAGACTATTTTGTCATTAGAAAAAATACCGAAAGTCGTGATTGGCCCGACTTGATTGTATATTATTTGTATATTATACTAGCACTAGCACTTGATGTTTTAGTAACTAACTAGGATGTTATATATTTATACCCTTTTCTTTTTGTCACTAAACCACACTCAAACCTTCTCCGTTAGATTTTTCAATTCGCATAAAATGCAAAATCTGACATTTGTACTAGGTCTATCATATTGAAACTACTTTAGAGTAGAAAATTATCCTTCTTTAGTCATAGCCTTCTCTGTAAATACAAGAGCAATGTGATCGCCGGTGGTGCCACTATTAAGACAACTACTGGACGAAACGAACCAGAATTTGATGTGGTTTTATGTACCATTAGGGCAGGCTTATCAACGACCAATGTTACATGCACTAACAAGGGGCTAGTGCTATGTATAGGTAATTAGTAAGCTTATCTAGATCGCTCTACATTTGTAGGGAGCATAGGAAATGGTAACTAACCCTTTCTCAGAAATGTATGTATGTATATAAAGGTTAGGCCACAGCAAGTCATTTTTATGGATGACATCATCACAGGAACAAAACAAGAAATTTTGTTGCCCTCTGACAGTGGTGAACATGCCGAAAATGGGCAGATAACTATGAAGACAGGAGACACGAAAAGACTCTGATTCAATGTTTTGTTTCTTACTTTGATGCAGTGATATGTGATACTGGCTGTGTGTATGTGATGTTCTCACTGAATCAAAAGCATTTCTACAATTATTTAGTCAACATTTGAGAATGTAGGAAACTTGTTTTTTTCGGCAAGCCTTGTTTTTTTTCGCCCGCTCGCATTAGATTTGGAGTCTGCGGAGGATGTCATCCATAAAATCTACTCGCTGTGGCCTTAACTTACTAACTGGTTTGATGTATTTATTCGGCTGCATGTAGATGTAGCATCCTCTCCTGTTTTCCTAGATTAAAAATGACGAGGCTTCCAGTTGTTTTGTATCGAGATATCCAACATGCAAACCACGGTATTGCTTCCTCGTTCAGTTCGAGCATGGCCAGCGCAGCGACTGAGATTACACCGGGAAAAAACATCCCGCATACTTTGAGTCATTTCCTACGTGACATGGGTACGACTGTTCTGCAATCAGTGCGATCATACAGACGGTTGAGTCCCGGAGGAATCAGGACTAATTTCTCTGCCCCGCCGAGCGGCTGACATGTGGTCGTCATGTGTCGTACCTTGTGCCTGATTATCTGGACGAGTCCACTTCTGACTGGAGGCTCCAAGGTTGCCATCACCCCGCTCTCGGACTAGGTCATAGGCACAGCTAAACGGTAAGCGTTTATGCCTCCGTTCCGACGTTTTCATATTCCTGTAGCACAGATTCATGAATTTTCTTCAATACTGGTTTAGCGACATGTCCCCGGTTGACAGAAATTTCGCGTGTTGTTCTGGAATAGTTGGGAAATCATGTATTAAACGTTGGACTCGAGCGCCGTGACTAAAATACTACATGTGGTGTTGATGTTTTCCACGACATTGTTATTCACTCTTTTTTTTTTCTTCTAAATAACGAAGATGATATGTTAAGATTATCGGATAGCAATGTCACGGGATGAAGCTACCACGTAGAAACAATAACGTCCCTCAGTGTTCGCCTTCATAGGATAAACTAATTGCTTGTGTCTATGCTGCTGGAATGCACGGTAGGATAGGGAGGAGACTCCATGATAAATTGTTACAAGCACCGCGGCGACAAACGTAGAGTATAAAACACGACTTAGTATTCCACCCATGCACCGGTGTGCTCAAGACAATTTCAGAGCGCTCCTATATGTCAAAATTTGGCAGTTTTCGCGTAGTACATGCTATCTGTTTCAATGTCACTGGGATATACGCACCGATTTCTAGTCACGAGGGTTGTATTTTTTAGTAAATGTTGCTGAAATGTCACAACAAATGGACCGTAACATGACGGAACATTTTAAGGACAAACGTTGGGTTTGTTTAGCAAACCACGTCTCCAATCTGTCAATCAACTCGTTCATTAACCAGTGAAATCAACAAACGAACTATAGCCAGCCAACCAGGAGTCAACCCGCTTTGGTGATCCATCAACCAATCAACCAATCAGAAATCACGCAACAAATCCAGTCAGCCAATCATGTGAATTTGATGGATTCATCCTGTCCGCTCAGGACGCGTGCTGGAGAGAAGTCGCCTTGACACGTTATATCTGCCCTTTTCGTTCGTTCCCTGCCAACTCCCGAATGAGTAGAACTCCACAGACGGGTTCCCTGATTTGCTATCGATGACAATCTAATCACCAGCGTCTAATCCTCGACCAGTGGGATGACGTCACTGCCTAGCAACGCGCTTGGATACGGCGAACGAGCGGGAATTTCTAGCTCTCGTGTTTGACCTGTTATTACATTCTGAAGGTCAGTAGGGGAGGGGGGATGCATACTTATTACAATCTCCCCTCTATTATCAAACCAGTTGCCAGGCGCTTATATTAGGGCATATAATAGCATATATCCTACGACTAACACGTATCCAGAATTCTAGATATTACTAATCAAATTTGTAAGGAAACAGCTAAATCATTCTTAATGGGTACACTATCTAATTCCCTGTGTGCATACAACCATCAAAGGCTGCATTTCTAAGCGAGGAACGTCATTGGTCATTAGTCTGGGCTTGTCAAATTAGATCATGTTAGGATATTCCATTATATACCTCAGTGGAGGGGGTGGATGGGTCTGTTTTGGTTTATTCTTTTATGTGTAGAAATAAAAATGACAGGAATCAATCGTTTCTTGAAATCAAAATAATCTTGATATCAAATTGGTTTATTGCACAAAAGCATCTTGTGGCCTGACGGCTGAATTGCAGACTCATTTACAATCTGTCATCGGAATAATAAACTTTGACTGTAATAATAAAAACAAGTACTAAAATCACTCTAATTGTAGCAGTGTGAAACAAATCTAAAATCACACTAAACGTAGTATTTCAACAATATATAGAAATATACGGAGGACAGGTGATTTTTACCACCCCTCCTGAAGCGTCCAGTGGAATAGCCCTTATAGCTGGTTACTTATAAAGCAATGTGGCTGACAAAACCCAGGGCTTAGGTCCCACTGGTATTAATGATGAGTGCTGAATAGGGCTGGCCCATTCAACTTTCTGTGGGTAGCACATGGCGGTTTTCTATGTTATCACTCATGCAGCAGGGAGGAAAAAAAGAAACCTCTTGTCTCTCTTGTCTAGATTTCCTTTTTTTATTATAATAATAGTAATACTGGTTTATTTCTTTCATACTATACGGTACAGAGTAGCAGGGTCCACGTAGGACCCTGAATTGATCTGCCGCATTACACAAATTATAAAAAACGGTTGGCACATATATTAAAAGAAATTATTAAAAACAGTTAAAAACAGCAATTAAAGCATTTACAATAGGTGGAGATCATAGTCAAGCGGTTAAAAACAGCAAATTATTAAAAGTATTTACAGTAGGTTGCGATCATAAAGCAGATACCATGTCATAACAGATTGTTGTTTTTGTTCAGTAGTCTTGCGTGGTAAGGTATGCTACTGTTTCTAGATCTTGATTTTGTTACACCACAATTAAAAATGGGAGGAATAATGCGTATGCCCAGAATACTTATCATCATGACGTTGCTTAAAGTAAAACCATCGTAAAGTAGAGTGAATACAACAATTGATATTCTCTCGAAGACGTATATTTCTCGAGATACATGTTGATACATTTGTGAATGGGTATATGGATAGTGATGAGATAAATATATAGGATAGGTCATTAGATTAGAAAAATAAGAATAGATAAGGAATAGATATAGATTTGATACTACCATTGCTGAGTACTAGATACTTGGTAGATGCTACATGTATTAGATGACAGATACTATATAATATCAATATGTATTAGATGAATACATACGCTTCTAGATAAATACTATCAGATATTAGATCTATAGATAAATATATTAAGTAGAGTAGATTAGATTAGATTAGATTAGATTAGATTAGATAGATAGCATATAGATAGCAGTATAGACAGCAAGACAAATATAATGACAGATTCTGTCAGAAACAGATAGACAAATAGGTAGATACTAGACAGATAGACATTGAGACAAGTACTATTAAATAGAAAGATTAGAATTTTAGATGCTCATTGTACGTTATTTTAGAAGTTGTTTATTGCAAATTCATGCCCGGGGGCTAATTGCAAACAGATATTGACAAGAAAAATGTGGTAATATAAGACTATTTGCTAACATGAAGTTCTACGTGTACGATATACTTATCAAACCTACTATCTCTACTTAAATCTAATAACGCTGGTATACATACAGGATAAACAGTAGATATGCAATATGTGAACAGGTAAGAGGAACAAGGTAACTGATATTCTAATCTATTCCGTTCTATTAAACTATTCTATTCATGATATTAGGGGGGTTGACTACTTCTCAGGAGTTATTTTCCAAAAGGTGTTAAAGTTCGAAGTCTGTAACGACCTCCGTCTATGTATGTATATATTTTGTAACTACCCTCAAGAAATATTCTTGTTTAGTCTCCAGTATCTTGACTTTCGGTCGAGTGAAGTTCAGCGTCTTGGGGACTCACTGTGAATGTTCTTAGACTTTTTACGAAAGTGATATTCTCTTTAAAAGTTGTATTGAATTACTATTCTGTATTTTGTCTCTAACATTACAACAGAATCTTATCCTTCAAGATTTTGGACTAAAATTAAAATATACACATCCGCATTAATAAGAAAGTTTATTGCAAATACTTGCCCGAGGGCTAATTGCAGTTACAAACAACATAAGAAAGAAAATACAGTGGTATGTGAGACTATATCTACGTCTAGCATTATACTATATTCTACAACATGCATGGTACTAGTTTTACTGAGTTTGACTTCTTCTTTTGAGGCCTTGGCCATAATTTTTAGATGATAACCGTCTAATTGAATTATCACAGGCGGAGTTACTTTATTTTCGATGCAGACTATAGAGCAGCGTAAGTCCATCAAGAATTCACGGCGCCCATTTTCCCACCCACTGCATACTAACAATATCAACACGTCCTACATGTTTGAATCAATTTTAGAAATAAGGGACAATGTGGCGCCACACGCACTAGCCACTACAACCTACATATGACAGGCCACAGCAAGTAAATTTTATGGATGACATCCTCCGCAGACTCCAAATCTAACGCGAGCGGGCAAAAAAAAACCAAGGCGGGCCGAAAAAAACAAGGTTCTTACATTGTAAAATCTGGACTCAATCATTGTACAAATAGTTTTGATTCAGTGGGAACATCACATATACACAGCCAACATATCACATATCACTGCAAAGTAAGAAACAAAATAATTCAATCAGAGCCTTTTCTTGTCTCTTCTCTTTATAGTTATCTGCCATCCACCTTCCGGCATGGCAACAGACATCTTTGCCCATTTTCGGCAGGTTGACCACTGTCAGAAGACAACAAAATTTCTTGTTTATTTTTCCAAAATCAGGCGAAAATTAATGCGCGCGCTGATGTCATCCATAAAAATTACTTGCTGTGGCCTAAACAGAACAAAAGGCAACAAAATTATTTGGATGTAGACTGCGTCTTTAATGTTTGTTATGAGTTATTTGCAAACATATGATATATAAATGTGCCTCACATTTCAAATTAACATCATTTATTTCCTGATAACAGTCTATATGCAGCCGTTGGAATGCTGTCCTGTCATTGGTTAATTATTAATGAGATTTGGCGACGGAAGGAACGCCATTAAGTTTGCCAGACTGGTCATTATTCGGTACTAAACCCCGTGATAAGTCCTCCCTGTGGGATGGTACATCCGTGTTTACTTAGTGTCCTTCAACTGACCAAACCGGCATGTCGTGGTCCTCAGCTGAAGGACAGAAGTAACGGATTTATGGCAATCAACAACAGGAACTAGGTAAGACATTCGTGTACTATCTATCTATCCATTCAAGGCGTGGCGATTGTAATGAGATGTTTATTGCAAATTTATGCCCGAGGGCTAATTGCAAACAAAATGTGGTGATATAAGACTATTTGCTAACATGAAGTTCTACGTGTACGATATACTTATCAAACCTACTATCTCTACTTAAATCTAATAACGTTGGTATACATACAGGATAAACAGTAGATATGCAATATATGAAGAGGTAAGAGGAACACGGTAACTGCTATTCTAAGTTGTAAGTTTGTACGTTCACAGAAATATGAATTATCTACTCATGATGCCAGCATCTAACTACTTTTGAAATAGATTGAAGTATAAAATTCAACTGAAAAATAGTCAAATTTTGCTATTCGTTTGGCTTAATCTAAACTTCCCCACACAAGATTGTGAAACGTGCGCTCTCATCATCATCATGCAAAAATATTACACCGATACAAATTAATATCATAACCGGCAAGTAGGTCTTTTCTTACACAATTTGTTCTGTTGAGTTTTCTGCACAACAATTTTAGCAGGTACAATGTATAGCAGATAATAAGATTACTAGCTGGTATGGGTCCAGCAAAATTCTTCATATAGGTTCAACGGATACTATGTCTAGCAAAATGTTGAATTCAAATACTGACTAAGAGCTGAGTACACCTAAGTACGTGCTAAGCTACACTATATTATATTTATAAAGGGTACAATGAGAAGTTGTAAATATACTATACAGGTTCTATGAGTACTATACTTCAAAGCGTCGACCAAATTACTGGCTAAGATCTGTTACAATTCTACATATAGGTATGGTACACTATACTATACTATATCATTAATAAAGTATACGAAGAGGTATTGTATATCTACTATATAGCTTTACATGTTGATATTTTTAAGTAGTTATTTCAAGATTTCTTTTTTGCATGCCAGTATAAATGTATTAAGCCTATATATATAGATAAACATAGTCTGCCTTCAATCTCAGTTTTTCCCAATCTGTAAGGAATACAGCCTTGCGAGAAGATCAGGAATGCTTTTGCAATTTTACCAAAAACAAAGCAATATTCAGAATACGTTACAAAAAATGGCATGTCTTGAAGATATCAAGATTAGTTTCCAAAAGCCCCCCCCCCCCTGCCAAGCAGGCATGTTTTTTAAACGTAAGTTGTGTCCTGGCTTTGTCATAATGAATAGAATAATTTAGAGACCAACCCATGTATTTTCTTTATTATTTTTAAATATCTTTATACACAAAATCACAAAAACAATACATTATATCGCAATTGATACACTACAAACTTAAAATGCGAATTTAAAACAATACCTAGTTATACAATTTACGACTATAGATGAACAGCAATTGGTGGTCATAAGACTTATACAGTAGATTTAAAGCAAGGAGAGATTACAAAACTTAAACAACAT